TATATATATATATGTTTACACATTTAAATAAAGTTGGACCAAATGCCTAGTATCTAAGCTTCTCTCTGTTTTTGTCTCGTGCAGATTTGTCGTGGCTGAACTGGTGCGTAACCGGCTCGTGCCTCTTCAGCCTCGTCACCGTCCTCTTCTTCAGGGAGTCCTACGACCGTCTCTACCTGGACGTCTTTGTCTCCGTGTGACACTGATTAAGAAAAGGTCGAGGCCACTTAAATACCCGCTCTTGCACAGTGAAGAGGACTAAAGGGACATGAAGAGCAAGTTGGGAAGCTTATGCTCTTTGTAAGCTGTAATGTTTTAGGACATAAATGTGTATATATGTGGTGAGGGTGATATCTGACCATAGGGAACCATCTCTGTTTACACCTTAGAAGTAGTTAACTCGAGGTTCTATGATGGTTGACCTGTTTTTAATGGTTCCTCTGTTTGTACGTCAGTTAAAATCCTGTGAATGATTTCTCCCTCTGAGGTAGACCCGCATAGATGAACCGTTTGCTGTTTACATGTAGTTTAATATAGAAAGGCACTTCCCTGGAAGCTTCCACGTGTCTCATCTCTAAAGTAACCGGACTCTGCTTCAAGTTTACCAAAGGGACGTCAAACTGAATCCAATTTTAACACAAAGCACCTGTCCTTCACAAAGAGGTAAGGGACAATGATGGACTAGTTTCCTCAGCCAATGAGCTGGCCCAGCTGTCTGGAGCTATCAACTTTGACGGCCCGTCTGGCCCTACAGCGTTAAGCGACCTGTGATATCGCCTGTCACTAAAAGGCAGCCTCTTGCATTGTGTTTTATCACCCTATTAAAATTAATATTATGCAAAAAAAGATCCATCAGATAAGGACTGGATGCCAGCCAAAGACGTGAACTGTGACCGGACACACCTGCGCTTTCAGTTGGATGAAATCTTGGTGGTTTTATTCAGCACCATTTAGGACTAATTATCTGTGAAATTTCATTTTAATTGAACATTAATTTTTTTGTACAGTTTTTTGTTTTATTATTCACATTTGTTGCTAAAGAGGTGTTCTGGTATTTATTGAAAATAAGATGCTTCGACACTAACAAGCTAACAACCACAAACAAGACATTTGATGTTAGATTTTTTTTTTTATATATATATATATACTAACGTGTGAACATTTGGTTCCATCCTCCTCTTTCAAAGCACCAGCAGCTTCCTTTGCAACAACTAATAGGTTCATAGAAAAAGGAGGCAAAGCAGATTTTCTTATGGACTTCTAACAAAAAGCATCTCCGGATCAATAAAGCAGATCTCCACTGCAGAGGAAATGAGAAGTTATAGTTTTTTGGGTTTTTCTCCAGTAGCTGCAGGAAGCATTATTTTTATGTTTTCCCTCTGGAGATAAAGAGAGGCGTGTAATTTATCCCTGGTGCTGTTTTTTTTATTTTTCCTCTCTCGTCTTGTAAAGAAAAGGTTCTCTTTTACCCACAAATGTGTTGCCTTAACAACCCAGTACCCCCCTCCCCATCCCATCGTCCACGCTGTGAATATTTTATCTCTGGACTATGTCAGCGGTCATCTTCTGCTTCTGTTACTACACCTAAGTTACACTGTGGAGTGTCCTGGGTTTCCTTATCACTTTGAGTTTTGTGGGATAAAACAAACTGCTTTCACAAATGTCTGGCACCTTAATAAAAGGATCCTTTTACAAAATAGAGCACATCTTCTGTTCTTATTGTGAAAAAGAAAGATAACGAGGGCTGATGAAAAAGTATTTATGTCTGAATCGCTTTTAGAAATATTCACAACCCCTGATTTTTGTCACATTATAGGCAGAAACTTAAGTTTGATTGTATAAGGACGGTTGTGCTTTGTATGAAACATGATTGGCAGTTTTAAAATTCCATTTTTTTTTATCCTCCAATATGATCCAGTCACAGCAGCTACCTTTAGAATACATTGAATTTGTAAAATTCGACATGTGTGTGATTTTATCTCGTACATAAATCCCGTTGGTCTCTAAAGTGCACATATATTAATGTGACGGCATTGGTGAAACAAAAAGCATAATGAGCCCTGAGGAACACTGCAGTAAATAAATTTATGGAGGGGTTAGGTTGCAAAATAACTTCTTAAGCTTCAAACTGCTTCCAGATTCCAAACAAAGAAAAATTACAGACAACTATGGACCTATTGGGAAATAACTTTTGGTTAAAGAAGCAATGAAGAGATGCATACTAACTCTGTTGGAGCTGAGGGGAAGAATTTGTCAGAAGAGCTGATTATTCATGCAGTGCATAAATCTGGACTTCACGGATGAAAAGTCAGATGCGTTGTGTTGGAGAAACGACCCGCCGTAACACGCCATCCCCACATGAAGACCGGTGGCTGCAGCAGCATGTTATGGGAAACATATAGTCAGAATGTGTAATAAATACTCACATGAGTAGTTTTATTTAAAACGCACACATGAAAACTACTCTCCATGTGCATTTTAAATCATTTAATAACATGGGCAGACTATATATCACAGGCATGAGTGCATGCTGCTCCTCTGCTCTTGTGACTTGCTTTGTATGCACCGAAAAAGGCAGATGAGCTGAGAAAAGGGGCATGTTCCCATGCTTGTAACACAGACGTGCACAGATAGACACTAGTTGGTGCTAGAGAACCTGTCTTTTTCCCCTCTTGAAAAAAAAAAATAGCCCTCTTGAAATTGTGTTTTTTAATATTTAGTCTTTGGCCCAAAATACCATTTATGAATTTAAAGGCCTATTAAACCTAGAGTCTAGATTTTTGTAATTTTTCTCCACGAGATGTGTAGCACAATCTCAATATAGCTTTGTCCTATGAAGGGCCTGCTAAATGTCCAGGTAACCAAACAATATATATAATATACCTCCATCTTTAATGGCCTCTACCAGGCGGCAAGGAGCAGCTACAAATGCAACTCTTTGATTGAATAAGAAAAAAATTCTAATTCAAAGCATCTCATAGATGTAATAACTGATTTATTTGCTGTTTTTACAGCAAATCTATTTGACTCATGTCTTTTTATGACAACTATTCAACACGTTTCCTTTTGTCTGTTAAACATTTCATATAAAACCAAACATAAGACACATTACAACAAAACATTTAACTACCTTTTCAAACTCTGACTTGCATTTTGCTGAATTTGGTTGACCAGGCAGTAAAAGGGTTAATAATAAAATGTTTAACCTTAAAATAAGATGATTACATATCATGCATTTGAAATAAGATAATTTAGTTTTTTTTCTGCTCATATTTTAAATGTAAATCTTAGTTCATCTGCCAATTGTCATATATACCCACTCAAATCAGGAGAAAATAAACTTAAAGATGTTCTGGAATCATGGGCTTTGTATTAGAGGGCTCTATTTCTATGTACCTTGGAAAACTACTTGAGCAAGTGACACATTTAAGTGACCAACCTGCTGGCTAAACTGAATCTAACCTGATTTAAAACATTTATAAATTACTGCATGTTGTCCAACGACAGTATCTAACTTCACTTGCGCCGCTTCTCCTGTTAATATGGTACAGCCGTCCAGAGCACCGGGACCAGGCTGCACATGATACCAATTAGCCAATGAGCTCAGTCAGTCAGGGTTGCTGCTGCAAGTTACTTTTAGACACAACAGGCAAACCTTTGGCAAGCCGGGTGATGGGAATGAAGGAGAATACAAAGAGAAAAAGAGAAGTGTGGACTGCTGGAAGAACTGAGGTGAACTGGTGAAAGAAAAGTGAAATGGCGTGCTCAAAGGTGACCCTGCACATTTTGATTATGTGTGGCTCAACCTGCTGCTGTGAAGCAGGATTCTCCACCATGAACATAATCAAAAATAAACATGGATCCAGGCTCAAAATGAGCACCTTGATATGTGCTTTAGAATGGCTTAGTCACCATTTAAACCCAGCTTTAAAAGCCTTGTAGGTCAGCAACAAACAAACGGTTAGTTCAGGTGTTTTATAAAATATGTGAATCAGGGAATTGTCTATATACCAAACTGAAAGATTGCTGTTCTCTACTTCAAAAAACACTTTAGATTTTGAAATGGAACAATTTTTTTTTTTTTTTTTTTTTTTTAATTTAAAAAAATGTAATGTATAACCTGGATGCATAAAAGCCTGAATTTTATTTCAGTGTTAAATTCTGTTTGAACAGATTATAATTAAAAATGTCTCCAGACCTTTAGTGGTTGGTTTTCTTTATTTGGACCCCGCTGATTTTTTAATTGGTTACACCTGCTTTATATTATACGCTCTTGGAGCCAAATAAAAATGCCTGCCACACTTTTCAGATTTATTTAACTTTGCTTTACAACTGTGATGTAAAATGTGTTGGTCTGTTGCATGAAATCATGTAAAAAAAAAATAATAATACAGCGGCGTTTGTGTTTCTAATGTGATAAAACATGAAAAGGTTTGAGCGGTGTGAAAACTCTGCAAGAATACCTGCATCTTTTTTTCTCTTTATCTGAAGTTTTATTTAAAGCTTTCTTCCATTATTATCAGCCTATTATTTGCTTCCTTTAAAACTATATCTTTTATGATTACTTCCTTTTCAACTAAACAGCGAGCGTATTTAAGAGTTTGGAAATTGCTTTTGCTCTGTTGTTATTCATTATATGAGTTCTCTTTGTTGCTTTCCCCCCACATTGTGTGCTGCTGTGAATAAAATACCACATTCAGCTGGAAATTCATATTTTTTTACGCACTTTCACATCCACATCCAATTGACTGCAGTTAAATCAACCAATCAATTCCAGCTAATGGGTCACTTAGGAGCAGCTATGCATAATACTCCTCTATGCCCACGTCTGCTGAAGCTCTACCATAGGCTAATTTCGATTTAATTCACCATGTCATTGCTACTCTATAAAGTTGCCTGCGATTTTGAAAGAAAATCGAATGGAACAGAGGCAGAAATGTTTTTTTTGCTTTTACTTTTTGGCACGGTTCAATCTATTCATCAGAACCTGCCTGGCTGGAAAATGAGTATGTTTTTTTGACCTCGGCCTCTGGTTTCTATTTTCCATTAGAAATCTGATGACATCAGCATTGCTCGCTGAGGCTTGGCGGCGCTCAGCAGGAGCGTCGGTGACATCCGTTAACTGATTGCACAAGCTGAGGAGATCTAACCATGACTAATGTTCTAAAACCTGATGTTTCAGTGAGGAACTGGCACCAACTTTACTTCCTGTGTGTTGTATCGGTGTGAATAATGGCCATGCTGAATGCAAGTAAAAACACGAGATTGTCAAAGATTATGAGAGATGATCTATAAATACTAAAGAACGTTACTTATTGGTGGGATAGTTTATAGCTTTTTTTCAACATATTTGATGTTTTAGTTGGAGCACTTTAACATCATTCTCGATGAGGCCTAAATTTCCAGCGGCTTAAGAGAAGATATATCTTGAATATTTTCACACTTTATCACATTACAATCTCAAAATATTTTAAATACTTTTAAATTATCTTAGTTTTTAATGTGATAAACCAACAGAAAATTGATCATGATCATAAAGTAGAATCAAAACGTTTTTTTCCCTAGGTTTTCTTTTCCCAATGTATGACATCCCTAAATAGATAAAAATTTAACTTCTTCGACTGTTTTGCTAGTCAGTTAATCTGTTAATTCTCTTTTCAATTAATAATCCATTGGCAAAAAGCTCCTTTTAAAAGATTTAACAAAGAAATCAAGTCAAGTGAAGCTAAACTGCCTTTTAAGGACACTGGATTGAGCAAATTAATAAACAAAAAAAATAGTTTTTTATCTTGACAGCAAAATTATTATTTTTTTTATTACTGCTGTTAGAATAAAGTTTATTATCAGACTTTACAACCCAATATTATCTCAACTTCCTCAAAGCTTCAACTAGAGTCTGAAGGCGTGGAGAGATGATTTATCAGTAGATCTGTGAAAAGGAAGATGGGCAGGAAGTTTCTGCTGTGACTCATACTACATCTATCATCATGCACCTGGAAATAATACACTTTCTATTGACTGATTGATTGACTTTATTGATCTCACAGTAGTCCAATAGTCCAAAGGTGTCATGATTGCAGACCTGGTAGCTGATCTAATCATAATTATCATTGATCTTATTCACCTGCTCCCACTGATTTATATACGGTTCAGCCCAGCTATTGGGGCAAGATCGTTAGTTATCCATGTTTCTCTGTTGTTTAGTTAGTTGCTGTTTAGTCCGTTGTTGATTGTTCCATCCCCGGAGGCCAGTGGATTGAGAGAGTTTGGTGTTTGTCTCCTGATTGTGTCCTAACTCTTCTCTGCTAAACCCTCGGGGTTTTGGCTCAGAGTGCAGGGGAAAGCCAGTTTTAACTCCTGTGATCCTTGCTCCTAGGAGGAGTGCAGTTTAAAGTTCTGCAGTTATCCTGGTAACATGTCTTGTCGTTGTCCCTTTCAACCACCCGCCTCCATTTGAGTGTGTCTGTCTGAGCTCGCTGCTGGACTCATAGAAATCAGAACTATACTGCCTGAATTAGAGGTGGGCTGATTGATCCTAGGATCAACACTATCGATACCATTGCTGGTATTGATATTGAACAATACTTGTTTAACAAGATCAATCCTTTTTATTCGCTCCCACATCTACTAACTGCTGCAGGTTCACCACTCTCCTCATCTGTATTGCTCTTCCCCGCTCACTTTTCGTCGCCGGCTCAGCACGCAGGCTCAGCCAGGCCTGCCCACTCAGCTCTCTCCGCTACTCTGTTTAAAAACGGAGAGGAGACAAAACTTCGCTCATTGTCCCGTTTCAGACCTCCAGAGAATATCCAAGTAGATAAGAGTGATCACCTGCAGAAGCCCTTCATATTAAAGGTATAGTGAATGATTTTCATGAATTTGTGAAAAGACCCGTCCTCTCAACTTTAAAAGAAATGCACATGCACAACCATGTACCCGCTCCCGATAGGGAACACCTATTAAACACGTGAGAGCGTGCACGGGCCCATTTCTCCTCGTGCATGCTCTTTTGAAAACTTGCTGTTTGCATCGGTCATACGAGCTTACTTTCCAAAAGTAGATTAGCAATTTTTCCAGTATATCAGACTCACCACCTGTATTAGTACCATTTATTTTCATGATCCACCCAGAAAAGAACATTCTCTGCTACAGTATACCTTTAGCTTTCATAGTAGATTTTATATGTCATATGTTACTAGAGCCAACTCAGAAAGTGTAATTAAAATCTTGAAAGAACCCAGAACATTTATCCCATTAAAATGTGTTATCTAAGTGGTCTAACATTAGCTAATCCTTTATTTATCCCACAATGTGGAACTTTATAGAATTAAAGAAACAGGAAACCGCACAAAATACAAACAAAATTAGATGAGGATTGAAAGATATAAGTGGTGGATTAGGAAAAAACACTAACATTACATTATCAACACTATTATTATTCATTTGTAATAATGAAATAAAAATCACATAAACCCTGAAAGGTCAACAGTTCCATGATACATCAAGCTTTAATGTTATGGTATCGGTATCGTATCGATATCGGCGGTACTGACCTTGTATTTACTTAGTATCGTATCGATTAAAAATTCCCAGTATCGCCCACCGCTAGCCTGAACCCTCTGTGGATTGCTGGAACCCTGTATCTGTCCGTTTCTGTTTGGATTGGAACCCCTGGTCGGACT